AAAAAACCTCAAAAAACTATTAGTCATGGCATTTTATCATCTGATGTTTAAAAAGCAAATAAAATATTTGTACAGTATTTTGTTAATTGCTCAGTTCATCATGAAGGACATACATTTATTTGTTGTACTGTGATCAAAGTTTGAATGTTGTGGTTCAGTATAAACAAAATAAAAACACGAGAATCATTTTATTGTATCTAATGCAGTTTTAATATACATAAACCTGAAGACCTGGTGGTGCTGTTGATCAAAACAAAACCTGTAATACCAGACATGACTCAAGTCTTAATCTTATCACTTGAGATCTGACTCTTCTTTAAAAGCTAAGAGCAGAGATTGCTGAGAATACAGACACACTGCAGTATGTCACTGATGTATGCTCACATTCAGCGCTCACAACAAGGAGTAGGCCAGACTCTGCCCTATAGCTTGAGAGGGGGCAGAACCTTTGGTTTGCTGCTAAGATTCTTGTTGCATTTTATAGCCAGTGAGTAAACCAATTATTAAATCCACAGCAACATCTGCCCTTTGCCCTTCCAGACTCCAATGAGCTGGAGATTCTAATGTTTAGATTCTTCAAACTACAGCTCCTGAATCCATTTGGTGAGATGATTACAATGCATTCAGTCCTGCAGTTACATACAACAGCACAAGAAGATCAGCAAGAATCACAACATAAATATTTGTTGAAATAATGGAAGATTAGATTTACGAAGAAAAAAGAAATGAAAATTCATAACAAATTATATAAATTAAGGTTTTAAAACCAGAGACAAAACAACTGAATTAATTTCCAATTTATGTATTAACTTACAAAAAAATTATAGCAAATGAATAAATACTAACTTAATATTATATAATTATGCCCCAAGTGTTTACATGTTTATGCAAATACCACTGATATGTTGTAGATATAACTCATATAATGAAAGTAGCCTACCTTATGCGTGTTGTTGAATGGTACATGCCGTTTAGTGGTTCATATCAAACATACAGTGCAAATGTTCTCACTCATAGGTTTGTGTGTGACGTGTTCCTATTTGAAGCAACAGATGAGGGAATTTCACACCTGTTCTCTTTCAAACAACATGTCAGCATGTCTACTTCCCTTCTGGCCATATCTGTAAAGATCGTATAGATACAGTCTAGGTATAAAACCTTCTTGTGGCTGTAGTGTTGCACTGGCTTTGGACATCTATGGTAAGAGAACTGGTATGCTTCCTTCTCTCTGTTCAAAGAAATCTATATTTAACCAAACTGTAACATTGTTTGAGCGTTAGATGAAGAAAGGCACATGTTCATAATAATTCAATTCAATTCAAGTTTATTTGTATAGCGCTTTTCACGATACAAATCGTTGCAAAGCAACTATACAGAAAATTACGTTTCTACAATATTTAGTAGTAGCTTATCAGTGGTGACTGTCAGTTAATGTACATATGGCAGAAATTTACGGAAAATCAATTAAGGATGTAATCAAACAGACGATGAACACTATTAACAGCAATTATTATATGATGCAATCAAATTTATACAGCATGTGATTATAAAGTAGATCAAAAATGTATTGTATCCCATTTTGTGTCCTCCTTATGGTGCTGTAGTATTACTGTAACACATAGAATTAATCAAAGTTATGGAGACATATTATGATATGAGCCCTGTGATGGACTGGCCACGTTTTCAGGGGGTTTTTCCTGCCTTTGCCCAGTGACCGTATACAGAACATGAGGGTAGAAATGGGTGGATATTATGATATGTTGATAAATATTAATAAAAGAGCTGAAGTTGACCTTCATTTGAGGCATTCTGCCTAAACAGCTGTGGCCTGGTTCTTTCTGCAGGTCTTTGGACACCATGTTTGTGATCAAGGTGACTTTTGGCCTATTGGCCCAGCTCCTTGTCTTCTCTGTTAGAGCTGAGGAGATGGTAAGACACACACACACGCACACTTATATCAGTAGGTTGTAAATAATGCATGCAAAAACATTGCATTATGCATGCACCTCTCTGATACTAATAATTGTTATAATTAAGAATGTAAATTTAGGAGTTTGACTTGAGGTAATGTTTCTCTTCCATGTCCATTTTGTGTGTGGTGTTCTGGCATAACTCACATGCAGCCTGGTAAGTCAAATACTCCAGCAGGCTGACAGTTTCTACATGATGAACTGATTGAAGTACTAGTTCATTAGTGAACGTGTTGATGTGTTTTTATTATAGTTGTTGAGGACAAGTCTGCTCAGCTGTCTGTGTCTGAACTGCTGCACAGAGCCAACAGAGGCATCAGTATGTACTCACCAATACACATCATTATGCTGCAACTGTTCTTTACTAAACGGTCCCAAATGAACTGTTTATGTGTTAGTTCCTGAACCTGATGAGCCCAAGCTAATGGATGACATTGCTGTGAATGAGAGAAATGCTGATCCCTGCACCTCCTATGGCTGCCTCTGGCCCAAATACAGCGACGGCATGATTTATGTGCCTTATGTCATCGCCAACCACTACTGTAAGTCACTAGTGTTATGATTTATGTTTTCATTCAGAGCCCAAAGAGAATACAAAATAGGAGAGACTCTCTAATGTTCCTGATTTTAGGGCAGATTCTTACGATTAAGTCTTATAATCAGTGCGAATGCATGTGAGTGTGAAATAAAAAAAAGTAAAAATTTCCATAGCAAGCGCTGACCTTTGCCCTTTCAGCCTCCCGTGAGCTGGAGATCATCAAGCGTGGCCTGGACTCTTTCTCCTACAGCACCTGCATCCGCTTCTTCCCCCGCAGCAATGAGAGAGACTATATCAGCATTGAATCTCGCAGTGGGTATGTAACAGAGACATACTGAATGAACATTTCACATTATTGGCAAGATGAGAATGACAGGTAGAAGCTTCAGAATGAGAATTACGCTTAAATTTTAGAATGATGACAATGAAAAGGATACGTATCTATGATCAAGAGATGGATTTTATTGTCTTACAGATGCTACTCATACGTTGGTCGTCAGGGTTATGCCCAGACTGTGTCTCTGGACCGTAATGGTTGCGTTTACCACAGCACTGTGCAGCATGAGCTTCTCCACGCTCTTGGCTTCAACCATGAACAGACTCGTAGCGACCGTGACAATCACATCCAAGTCATCTGGGAGAACATCGCTGATGGTACATTGTTAATAACAAACTCATTTCTGAAGAATACATGTAGCGATTAGTTCAGTACTGTATTGCACATCTACTAGACTAAATGTTTTGTTTGTTTATCAGACATGAAGTACAATTTCAACAAAATCGACACTCTAAACCAGGGAACTCCTTATGACTACAGCTCTGTGATGCAGTATGAGAGGTGAGGGAGCTTCCAGTATAAGGAGATGCCGTTTCTCTGGTGTAACACTGTCATCTAACTGCATCTGTCACTCGCTCTGTCAGATACGCCTTCTCCAAGAATGGCCTCCCCACTATGGTTCCCATTCCTGACAATAATGCTGCGCTGGGCACATCTACCGAGATGAGCCAGAATGACATCATCAGAATCAACAGGCTCTACCAGTGCTGTGAGTGACACACTACTGTCTAGAAACCGAACCACCACTGTTTAGTGCTGGAGGAATAAATTAGTGATTGCATGCATTTTCACTGCATTGTCTAGCAAATCTGTGGTGATATACTACACAAAAAAATATGTTTACTAATGCTTTTTTTACTTTTAGCACAAAAATAAGTAAGGGGAACTTTAAATTGACCTTTGGTGATTTCCCTATCCTTTAGGAGCAGTGAAAATGCATTTAGCACCCAGACTTGCAGTGCAGAGGAAACAATTCACTGAAGATCCAAAGTCTCATGGATGTTGTTGACTACTGTGCTGAACCAGCATCATTCTATCAGATGTGTTAAGCAAAATAATACACCAATAAATTTTCAAATCAAAAGAATGGGTGAATTTCTGTGAAGAAATGCATCATTCACATTTTTTCAAATAGTAAAGTATATCTAATAATAAATGTAATCATTTAAATTTAATATAAATTTAATTTAATAATAACACACACGCAAATTCTTCCACATGGTTCTAAAGAGGCTAAATGATCCTGACTCAAGATCATTGATTATGATAATTAATGATTGATTTGATGTGGGATGTCTGCTTACAGAATTCAAGATGTTACAGCAGAGACAGTTTCATGAAGTAGTTAAAAAAAATCGCAGAATTATCTTATTGCACAATGCATCAAGTTTTACAAAAGGGGACATCTTTGTAGTCTTACCTTTTTTTTATTAGATTCTGATTTTTAGGATTCTTATACTGAACAATGCATGAAATAATATTTTTATGGCCATGAATAAAGACAGCAGCAAAAAACAAATGTGAATTTTATTCAAATATATTTCACTTACAAATCATTCCAGTCAAATATCAGTAATAAATATGTTAGGTTTATATGTAATAAAGTTTCTTTACTCATCACAACTAATGGTTTAATGACCCAACTCTTCCATAAACATAGCAGAAAAAATCCAGCACAATGCTGGATATAATATCAGAGACTGTAAAACTGAACTGCACAGAACAATGTAAAAGCATAAAAACATTAAATTAAACTCCTAGTATGAACTATAAAACACATTCACCCATAATTCATTAATTCCTGTTAAACGCCCGTCCCACACCTTTCAAAACTCACTAGTTGACATTTGTATTCTCCTGTCAGTGTTTTTCAATATTTACATGAGCAGAGACAAAGACCAATACCATTTTATACTGGCTGTTTTAACAGAGGTCATCTGCTATTCAATCGCTTCAGTCGACGTCTGTGTACGTAGCGGAGAGATGGAGAATTCACCTCAGCTAAGCTTTTCTAGTAGCTATCACTCAGCTTCAGCTGCACATTTTCCGTTTCTCGTTTAATGCGGAAACAATGTAAGTGTTAAGCACTATATAGATGACTGAGCAATGTTCAACCTTGTAGTTATAACTCAAATATTGACTGATTGTAACATGAAGGTGCTGCAAACACATACCATCTCTGTATAAGTAGTTTTCATGTTAAAACTGAGATTTCCCTGTTGTTGGGGTCCTCTGCATTTAACTTAAAGGGGTCATATGAAGGATAAGTTTTCCTTTCTCTTTGGAGTGTTACAAGCTGATTGTGCATAGATAAGATCCCTGAAGTTGCAAAGACTAAAGTCTCAAAACCAAAGAGATATTCTTTATCAAAGTTAAGACTCTGCCACACCCCCCTAAAACGGCTCGTTCTAACACGCCCCCACATATCTACCTCACTATGTGGAAATATTTGCATAATGCCGCCCAAATGTGCACGCAAAGAAAGAAGGTTTTGCTCAGTGTGTGTGTGTGTGTGTGCGTGCGATCGCAGTGGAGTCAGCTGTATTAACCGTGGCTTGTGTACTGCACACATACCAGCTTCATCACTGTATCTGTCACGTGACTCTGTTCCCCTTTCAGGCTCTGTCTTTACATTTATTTTGAAAGATAAAGCTCGCGATTATGGTAAGGGGCGTTACATTTCCGACGAGTGCTTGCGGTGTTCGGCCAATCACAATGCACTAGGTCAGCTGGCCAATCAGAGCAGACTGCGCTTGTCGGAAGGAGGGACTTTGTAGAAAACGAAGCGTTTGAGAGAGGCGGGGCATAGAGGACCTACAATAATGTACAGTATTTGAAAAAGAATGTGTTTTTGAACATTAAAGCATGTCAACATATTCTGTTACACCAAATACACAAAATAATGATCTTTAAAAAAGCATCATATGACCCCTTTAACGTAAAACTAAAGTTGAGTTAAAATACATGCAACATTATGGCTTTGAACAGAATAGGCCTACGATATTGCTATCCGGAAACACTACAATGGAATCACTGATAGGACAAGCCACATTGCTTTTCATACCTGTGAGATTTAATAGTTTATATTGCTGAATAACTACAGATGTAAATCATGTCTTAATATGATAGAATCGATCTTGGCACAATTTAACGGCTGTTATGCTGTTTGTTTTTGCCAGACCGATATAGAAGAATCCACATTTTCTTCACTGATTGTGTTAAAAAATCTGTGGAATTCTGGAATTCTACAGAATTTATTTTAAAAAATGAAAGTATAATCAAATTTGCTAGCCAAAATATATTAAGGGGTAATTCATTGCTGGTAATATGGGCTTTTAATCAAACCTGGCTGTCTATACAGTAGATAGGCAAACTTTCTTTTGCTACGTGACGAAAAAACAGAGCAAAGTGAATTAAAATGATGCATTCCTGTCAAATAAACAGATCTGGGTGCAGATAAATCTGTGGGCACGGATTCCATGTGGGCCTAGTATAGTATTGCGTTCTTTAAAACATTAATGTTCTTTACAAAATTGTTTACTGTGTATTGTATTCTAGCTGTGATTTATATTCTTTAGTCATCACTTTAATATGACCACAATATAACTGATCTATGCTGCCCTCACAGCCTCAACTAGAGATCATCCAGTGGGATCTGGGATCTTTTGCTTCCATATCCTGTATCCATATCTTCAAGCCCTGCACCACTAAAAGAGAAGACATCAGCTTTGAGTCCCACAGCTCTATACATCATGAGCCGCTTTTGGTTTCTATCACGAGCTAACCAACAGACAACTGTATCTGTGTCACCTGGAAGAGCATCATAGAAGGTACATGTTCATACCACAAACTACTCAAGCTATTGTTTCTTTTAATATATATGGGGGTTTTGTAGTAATAGATTTCACTGGGCAAGCATTTCTAAAGCATTATTTTATTTCGTAAATCACCAACTTAAATGATTTCTATATATTCAGACAAGACAGTAAATTGAACAATTGTGGTGTGATGTGAAATTTGAAAGTGAGTGAGCTATCTGGATTTGCTCTTTCCACCAGAGAGCATTTTACATTTATTAACCATTATTACCTCCATTTTCTTGTGTTTATAAAAAAAAAACTTCCTGACACTAATGCCTGTCCTTTTGATGACACCCTGTGGATTGGTTTGCCATTTTCATGTAGTCGACAAAAATATGCTCCAATACAAGTTCTCATATTCAAAATAATGAGTGATCAGGTCACTACTTACAAAGCTTGTGAAACATATTTTTTTTCCAACAACAAAAAAATAAAACCACTTAAATCCACCATAGTATTTTGAGACATGTTTCGTTAAAATTCACACACCATCTGACACAGGGTTCTGTGTTTAGGTTGTGTTTGGATGGTGTTTCATCAAAAGAACACAAAACAGAAGAGACCTGTGTTTTACGCTGTGTAAATTGGCTTAGTTATGAAAAATATGGAAGAAAATTAAATTTTAAAAATACATCAAGGTCACTTAAGGGTCACCGTCACGGACTGCTGAATAAGGTGTATCACAGTGTCTTGAGCAGAAACACTTTATGAGTAAACATGGAAAGAAGATAACAAATATATATAATATAATTTTATAATTATAATATAAACATATTTTTCTTTGAAAGTTCAGGGATTTTTTTTCTTGTTGTTTGAGTGCAGTAATGCTTTTCTATATATTCAGACAAGACAGTAAATTGAACAATTGTGGTGTGATGTGAAATTTGAAAGTGAGTGAGCTATCTGGATTTGCTCTTTCCACCAGAGAGCATTTTACATTTATTAACCATTATTACCTCCATTTTCTTGTGTTTATAAAAAAAAAAACTTCCTGACACTAATGCCTGTCCTTTTGATGACACCCTGTGGATTGGTTTGCCATTTTCATGTAGTCGACAAAAATATGCTCCAATACAAGTTCTCATATTCAAAATAATGAGTGATCAGGTCACTACTTACAAAGCTTGTGAAACATATTTTTTTTCCAACAAAAAAAAAATAAAACCACTTAAATCCACCATAGTATTTTGAGACATGTTTCGTTAAAATTCACACACCATCTGACACAGGGTTCTGTGTTTAGGTTGTGTTTGGATGGTGTTTCATCAAAAGAACACAAAACAGAAGAGACCTGTGTTTTACGCTGTGTAAATTGGCTTAGTTATGAAAAATATGGAAGAAAATTAAATTTTAAAAATACATCAAGGTCACTTAAGGGTCACCGTCACGGACTGCTGAATAAGGTGTATCACAGTGTCTTGAGCAGAAACACTTTATGAGTAAACATGGAAAGAAGATAACAAATATATATAATATAATTTTATAATTATAATATAAACATATTTTTCTTTGAAAGTTCAGGGATTTTTTTTCTTGTTGTTTGAGTGCAGTAATGCTTTTTATTGTTTTGAAATTCGGAAAATTAATTATTAATTATTTAGAATTCATGCATGTAAGAGAATGTTTATACGTGAGAAATGAGCGGCGTGATTTGACTGTAAGATGAGATTCCGTGTGTGGTGCGAAAAGAAGGTACAGTTCCCTCTCTCCTGGCAGAGGGTGTGAAACAAACGCACGCGGGGGATGCATGAGGTGGTATGTGGCAGACTGCTGGTCTCTTAGCAACAGCACACATACAGGAGAGATGAGAGATGAATTCTCTCTTCAAAGTGATATATCTTGCACATACCGATATGATGATATCATCTTTAAAAAGAGATATAATTCTGATAGTAAAGAGGGATTTCCTTGTCTAAACTCAAATCACTCACAGCTGCTAAACAGCTGACCTAACCTAACCCCAATATTATGAGAACAGCAACTGTGAAATTTTAATCAAAGACAAAAGATACTCCATGTTTGAATGATATTGTGACACTAAACATTCTTGATCCCTGTGTAGTGATGTTGGAAAAAGGATAGTTCACACAAAAATGAAAATCCTGTCATCATTAGCTTGCCTTCATGTCATTGCAGTCCTGCATGACTTTCTTTCATCTGTGGAACATAAAAGAAGACATTTTGAAGAAAAACTGTTTTG